TACCAACTTTGCAGAAAGTTCTCTCTCTAGTCATCTGTTGTTACCAGGAGGACAAACAGGGAGAGAAAAAGTAGAGGTTTAATCACCTTCTTGGAGCCACAGCTACCCTGGTCAGAGAGGGAAATTCCTCTTCCTTGGAGTTTTTGGTGCCTGTGGGCTCCTGCCGCCATGGCTGTTGCTGCCTGCAGACTTGCCTATTCCGTAATCTTGAACCACAGGGCTTCTTCTTGAGATCGTTCTATCCATACCAGTGTGTACATCTGGTTCTTGGCCTGCCTGGAAATCAGGCTGTAGGATACTGGAAGAAAAAGATAAACTCACTGTTGGTTCAGGGACGATTTAAATCCCTGTCTTCTTCCCAAATATGTCTGCTTGCTGTTCGCTTTCAAGAGTCCTCAAATATCTGTTTCATCCATAGTGTCCTGATTTCATTACTGCATTCAGTGGGAAAGATAGGTTGGAGAGTGCCTACTTCATCTTATACAGAACTGGAACTACCCATGTCCACTTCTTGACAGTGATTTGGTTAAGGAAAAGCATTTAACTCAATTCTGGCCAATGAGATATGAAATAATCCTATTGGGGGATGGTTTTGTAGCAAAGTTTTCTCACTAATTAAGACAGGCACACAAGAAGAGATGCTTTCTTTCTTTCTTTTTTTTTTTTTAACATCTGAATACTATTATATCAAGAGGTCATGTCTGGCACTAATGCTGCCATTTTGCTACCAGTCTTGGGATAAAGGCAACACACGGATGACAGTGTAAACACATAAAAAGAACCTGGGTCTTTGATGACATGATTGCATTTGCTGTACTTCAGGACTTTCTCTGAAGACTGATACATACCTTTGTTTAAGCTTGTTTGAGGTTTGGGGTTTGAGGCTTTTACTTGGCTGTCAAAAGTATCTTAAAGTACAGTATTCTTCTTTCTATATTTTGTACAAGTTTTTTTTTTTTGTTTTGTTTTGATCAGAACTCTTCAGAGAGTTCTTTCTGTAGTCATCCACTTTTTTAAACCTATGCTGTCCAACAAGATAGCTACCAGTTACATGTGGCTACTGAACACTTAAAATGTGACTATTCTGAGTTGAGATGTGCTATAAAGTGCAAAACATATACCAGATTTTGAAAATTTAGTTAAAAATAATAAGATAAAATATCATAACAAATTTTTTATTTATTACATATTGAAAGGATAATATTTTAAGATATCATTTTAATAAATATGCAACTGAATTGAATTTCATTGGTTTATTTTAACTTTTTAAAATGTGGCTGCTAGGAAATTTAAAATTTCATATGTAAATTTAAAATTACATATGTAACTCATATTTCTATTGACTAGCACTGGATCCAACTGCTGATTCAACAGTTCCATCTAATAGAAATCAAGTAGGCATCTCAAATTTAGTATGTGCAAAATCAACTTCTTATATTTCTCTTCAAATATATTTTTCTGTAGTCTTTCTCATCTTAGTGAATGACAACTCAGTACTTCAAGTTGCACAGGTCAAAACTTTGGATTTATCTTTGGTTCCTTCTTTCTTCCACCTCCCATATCTGCCTGTTCTGTGTGCAGACACTCTCCATAATCCAAACATATTGCACTGTTTTTGTACTTCCGCTTGAATTCATACCACTGTCATCTATTACCTGCATGATTGCAACTGTCTCTATTTTAAACAGAAACCAGAATGATCTTCAAAAGTAAGATTATGTCATTTCTATGCTCATGACCCTTCAACAGTGTACCTTTTCTCTCAAAGCAAAAGTTAAAATCTGGGCTTGGTACCTCTTTGACTGTATCACATCATACCCTCTCTCTCTCATTCACTTCACTCCAGTCACATGGCCTTCATGCTGATCTCAGACTTGTCCAGTGCACTCCTGCAGGGTCTTTGCACTTAACCATCCATCTACCTGGATGCTTTTCTTCCAGATATCCACACGGCTTGCTCTCTTATTTCCTTTGAGTCTCTACCCAAAGGTCTAAAATTTTACCATCTGCCTCCAGCACACCTGCAGTCCTTATCTTTTATTTTTCACCGTAGTATTGATTACCATCATACATTGTTTATTTTCTACCTTCCTTCCAGATAGAAGCTCCATCAGGGCAGGGATTTTGTCTGTTGTATTTCCTGCTGAATCTCCGGCCTCTAGGACGGGGGCTGGTGCATGGAAGGCGCTCCATATCGATGAATCAATCATTTCTTCTTCTCTCATTACAGAGCCTCCAGATTTCCTTTTCACAGTTTACCCCTTGTTATAGTCTGAATTTTGATATGCTTTTATTCCATACTCAAATAAAATTTAAATTTAAAAAAGGGAAAGAAGTAATAGCTTCAGAGTGATTTCTCCTATATTCCATTTTCTTTCAGAGTGTTGAAATTATTAGAAGGTGCAATTTAGCGCCTCACTGACAATTTCTTTAAGAGGGAAGTAAGTCTTCTAGCAAAATGTCCAGGTAGTTAATTTCATAATTAATACCTTCTGCCTCTTTGCCAGTTTTATAATCTACATTAATAGGGAATATTTATTTCCTGCCGATCTTTCCTTCCCTATAGGGAGCTAAAGTAGTTAAACTATCAGCCTCTTTCTGCTCCATTTACTCACTTTGTCCCTGGGAGGTTTTGGACTTGGCAAAATGAACTGGGAATGTTTGTCTCAGCTTTCCTCTTGTTTCACCCAGGAGTGAGCCTGCCCACAGAGAGCTTAAGTTTCTCTTTGCTCATTCTTGCTGTAAGTAATGTAAGCCTCCTTAAAACCTTCATAGCCTGTGAATAAGTGGCTTCATTTTCCTAAGTTAGGGGTTACTATTAGAAGCAAGGGTGGGAAAGAGAAATGCTATTTACTGAGGCTTCTTCAAGATTTACAATCTCTGCCAAAAAGCATCATCAAATTCCTCTAACTGGCCTTGTCATCTGTGGTTATTTTAATAATAGTATCATTTCAATTCATGATTTCTAGGATAGTTTTCCAACTGCTTCTCAGCATGCTATCACAGTCAGATGTATAGGGTACACATGGCATATAGTCCTACCCTGTCTTCCTTCAAATATCTCTGTTCATTTGGAACACATTAGTTTTCCATCATCTCATATCATGTACTAAGCTGTGGTGCTCAGTATGGGGCTCTATATATCACCTTATGTTGTTAGATTTATTTATTGTCCATTGTTTGCACATTAATATACCTGAGACTATGATGTTACTAATACCTTTCCTAATAACTTTCTCATGTGACTTATTGGACTTTCACTGTCATTTTCTGTCATCCTGATATACTCTATAACAATGATTTTCAAACTGGGACACACACAACCCTGGGGGTAAATGAGCTTTTCCAAAGCAATGGTATTAGAGTTGGGTAATTGAATAGAAATGCATTGTAGATTCTATTGTAAATGATGCATTTAACAACACCATTTGTAAGCCCAGTTCCTAATGATGGTCTAATATATCTCTTCCTTTGGCTGTTAATTTCCACTGACCCCCTCATTATAAATAAAATAATCATCCATGGATACATAAACTAATTAAAAAATAAAGAGCACCTTAATTTCAATGAGATGAATGATCAATAAAATTTTACTTTTATGTTTACTAATTCTAATAATATTTAATATATTTATGTTTTCATTGATTATGTACTAAAAGCTATTTTAATAATAATTCAGTCTAGAAAAAAAGTTGTCATACTTGATGGTCCTATAACATTTTTGAAAATTAAAAAATTAATTTATATACATATTTTATTGAGGAGAATATAACAGGTTGATCAATAGAAGACCTTCAAGTATAGCAATATATTGCATTAAGATCAAATTTTTTGGGGAATGAGGAATGAAAATGCAAGTTCAGAGAGAAAAAGGAATGATGTAAGATTTCTAACTGGTAAAGGAGAGCTTGTTCATGTATTCTTCAAATTATTATGGTATTTAGATTTTTTTGACACATGAAACATGATGGAACAATTCTATTTTAAAATGTCATTCTTTAAAATGCACAAGAAATTATATCCTTTGCAATCATTTATACATATAATAAAATTTTTAGATGTTAACTACAAAATGTGGAAGGGATATCAATAATTAAGAAAACCTTCTATGGAGTGCAGGAAAAACAAGCTTTTGAGTAAATTGTCAAATTTTATCTGGACATTTTTTCTCCCAACTCATCCTATACAATATGAATTCCTCTTAAAGAAGTCAGATAGTTTGTGGGTCAGTATCTCACCAGTTGTGTGACATGAATACATTCCTAACTTACCATGCCCATAGTTTAGAAATTGAAATCTAATTCTTTGATTTTATATCTGTATCTATGTTTATATCTAATCTTTATCTATATCTATATGTCTCTAACTACTCACTTCTTACATACTACTTTATTCTCCCAAATCCTAACCTTCAGAGAAAAACAATACAAAACAATGAAAGCATTCAACTATCTTACATTCCTACAAGGCTACAAGTCCTTAAGTTTTCTATAGAAGATTTCAGAGTCCCTTTGGAAATTTCCCAAATCTCTTCTGTGGGAATTTCCCTTTTCTGACCCCTACATGAAGAGTAATGCTTTCTCTTCCAAAAGCTCATTTACTCATATGGTTGTATTTATATATCTATAAATACATCTATATATTCATATATCAATATATGTATATTCAGTATCTTTCTCCCACCTGACATGCAGCAATATAGGAAATTAATTAAAAATTTATTCTGTGTATTTAAATACACACACACACACATATTTATTGAGGTATTTTTATACAACTGGGGGCACAGTATATATTCTTGTTGTTTCACCTCATTATTCTTAACTACAGTGTAAAAGGACCACGCTCTACCTAACCATGTCCATATTGATGGCATGTAAGAGGCTTTCAGGGCTTTGTCTCTTAGTCACAAACAATGTTGCAAAGACCATTCTTATGAATATGCCTTTGGGCTTATGTTTGATTATTTCTCAAGGATAGATTTCCATAAGTGGAATTAGTCAATGACTGTACATGTTAAATTTAATGGATATTCACCTCCAAAAACTGCCATTTTACATTCAAATAGCAATTGAAATATGTTTCCTTATACATCTTCATAAAAATATATATAATCAAAGTTTACAATGTTTTGTCAATCAAATAGGCAAAGAATGATTTCTCGTAGTTCTCTTGATTTGCATTTCTGACCTCTGGTGCATCTGCTCTGTGAGAAGTGGCATGCACTTAATTTGAGTTCCAGTAATAGTATGTTACTGTTCTTTCTCCCCGAGGCCATATTTATCTGCTCAGTATTATTTGGATATGGCTTTTGATTCCCCTCTGACTCCTAAGAAACATATTTTCCAGTTTTCTTTTTTGGATCATTTCCTCTTTTATGTTTTTGTCTTCATCTTTTCTAATAAACTGTATAGAGAGGTCTTCCTCGAGCCTGCTTGGTTCACCTTAAGCAGCTGACTTGCTTAATGTAAATAGCTGGATATTGCTTCTGGCAAGAACACCAACCAAGGCCACTCCCGGAAGGGCCAAAGGCATAATCACCTCACCTTCCATTTCCATTCCTCCTGTTTTTGGTCAGTTTATAACACTTTGTTATTAAGTGTTAGAAAGTTGTTTTCTTCTTTATATTAAGGTGGTGCTGTTGAAACTTTTCCATGAAATTGCTTCCATAAGCAGAGAAGAGAATTTGGAAATAATGACTTGTCTTCTTATTCCAAATCTTTGAGAGAAATTGAAAGCATGAACATTTGTTGCTTTATTGTCAGTTCTTTTACTCTCTGCCAAAGAATATCCTGGTTTGTAGCGCTGTATGCAGTTGAAGGAGAATAAAAATCATGATTAATTCAATTCAGTAAAATTTTTCAAAATGCATATGTGGCATGCTAAACGTCTATTGAGTAATTATATAGGAATTTGGGAAAAGTTTTGACTTTTGACCTAGTAGACCCCCTGAAAGTGTCTCTGGGACCTCCTGAGGTCCATGGACCACACTTTGAGAAACATTAATCTAGAACAATAGCTCTTCATCTGGCTGAGCATGAAAATCATTTAGGTACCTTTAGTGTCAGCCCCAGAGATTTCGATTCAATTAGTTTGGGGTAGGTCTGGCCGCTGGTATTTTATCAAAATTTCCTATGTTATTTTAACATGCAGCCAGAGTTCAAGACCACTTCTGTAGAACATAGCATTTCACACTGTAGACACTCAGAGTTTGTTTTAGAATTGTATTAAAAAACCTATAAGCACAAAAACATTTAAAAGACATTTAAATTACTTAACACAATATTAGGTCATATTGTGTAGACAAGGGTTATTTTAAATGGAGAATGGGTCAAAGCAATTTTAAGAACCTTTTTCTCAGAAATACAGACACCAAAATGGTGTGTTGGAACCTCATTCTTATTAGGTACAGACAGACCATTGGTATCTACCTGTCTGCCTATCTATCTATCTATCTATCTATCTATCTATCTATCTATCTATCATCTATCTATCATCTACCTACCTACCTATTTACCTACCCATCCATGTTTGTGTGTGTGTGTGTGTGTGTGTGTGTGTGTGTGTGTGTGTATGAATTGAATATTTAAATCAAAGAGTGAAATGCTTATTCATATACATTTTCACTTTACTTACATGAAAAAAAAAATGTATCAAGATGCTTTTCCTAAGTCATTATGAAACTCCCTCTGACATTTCCTGGGACCAATCCATTTCAGAGGATAAATCGTCACTGGAAATACATCAGAATGTGGAGAAAGAAGGAGAGCAAAAGTAGATTTAGAATTTACTCGTGTGTAGTAGTTTTCCCAACTCTTGAGTATAAGAGGTGGTGGCATTGTTATTGGGCTCTCCTTTGGTCATTTCTCCTTGTAAGATCTATTGAGCTGTGGGCATTTCAAGAATAAAAAGAGAACCAGGGATAAAGTTCTTGATAAGAGCATGATTAAGGTTGAAATTCTTCTAGTTAATGCTTTTACCCTGGTACATGTGAAATATGGATAATTTGCTAAGAAACTAAGCAATTTATATATTTGGAACTCTCATTAATAGATATTAATGTTCTGATTTATTACATTGATGGTAATTCTTTGGGGTTAAAATAAAACACTGAATCACTAATAAATTCAATTTAGATAAGTTTAATATTAATGGAGACAGACAGGGTTGAGTGCTGGCTTTTCTTATTATTTTTAAAATTAAAAGAGAATTAAAGTATATTATAGACCTAAATATAAAATATAAAACCTCTAGTCAAAAACATAGTAGTAAATCTTCATGGCCTTGGGATAGGCAAAAATTTCATAGATGAAACCACTTTAAGGCATCAATCATAAAATCTAAAAAATGATAAATTGGATCTTATTACAATGGAAACTTCTGATCTTCCAAAGACATTCTTAAGCAATATGAAAGAATAAGCCATGAATTGGGAGGCACTATTTACAATCCATGTACCTGATGAAGAATTTTATCCAGAATACATAAACTCAATAATAAGACAAACAATCCAATTTAAAAAAAAAATGAGCCAAAGATTTGAGCAGACACTTTGTAAAAGAAAGTATATGAAAGTTAATAAGGATGTAACAAGATTTTCAACACTGTGTGTTATCAGGGAAATGCAACTTAGAGCTACATGATATTCCACTCCACACCCACTAAAATGGCTAAAATTAAATAGACTAAGCAAATGTTATCAAGAATGTGGAAAGACTGGAACTCTCATATGTCACTGGTGGTAATGTAAAACAGTCCAGCAGCTCCTTATAAAGTTACATATATACCTACCATTTGTTCCTAGGAACGATTCCACTCCTAGATATTTACCTAAGAATAATAAAAGCATATGATCACTTACAAAGACTTGTACATGTATATTCACAGCAGCTTTATTTGTAATAGTCCAAAACTAAAAACAATCCAAATGCCCATCAACAGGTGAGTGGATAAACTATATATAGGTAATAGAATAAAAATGAACAACTAATATACACAACTGCATTGATAAATATACTAAAAAACAAAACCAAAAACAAAACCATTATGCCAAGTTAAAGAAGCCAGGCACAAAAGAATCCACACTTTATGCTTTTATTTCAGTAAAATTCTAGAAGAGACGAAACTAATCGATAGTGATGGAAAGCAAAATAATGGGGCTAAGGACTGGAGAAAGAGGCCAAGGGAACTTCTTGGGGTGATGGAAACGTTCTAGAATTTGATTATGATGGTTACACAGCGGTAAATTCATTTTCAACATGCATCAAACTTACACTTAAAATGAGTGCTTTTTATTGCATATAAATATGCCTCAGTTTAAAATAAACACATCAGTATAGATAATGTGTTATAGAAGTTTAGAGATAAAAGCTATCATTAGGGGCTGATAGTTTAGAAATGTCAGGCCTGGCGGAATGCTGTGGAAGGTAGCTGAAAATGGAAGGAAGATCACACTGGTCTGAGAGTCAGATAATCCAGCTTTGAGAAAGCTCCCTCTCTAAATTTTTTTAGGGACTGTAAGGGGCCGACAGATCCTTCTCTCTGTTATGCTCAAGTTCAGAGAGCAGCCATGAACTGGATAAAATGAGAATTCATTGTCTATGGTCAGAAGAAAACTTAAAAAGTTTTTCTAATAAGTTGCAAACAGACTCTTAGAGGGTACTCAAAATTGTTTGACACTAAGCTGCTTTGAAAAGGTATCAGAGGCCTCTGGGTCTAAGAAAGGCTTCTGAGTGGATTTGAAGATTTCTTTCATTTTGGCCAGAGAGAAGGCCAGAGGTAGTCTGAAGATTAATGTTAAAACTAAAAATGTATGCTGCTGTTTTTATTTCTTTCACTTTTGCCCCAAATGGCGTGTCACTTTTAATAAAAATTACAGATTTAGAATGTTTGATTCTTATTGTGTATGTTCCTTTTCTAAAGCACAAGATTGCTCAAATTATCCATTCTCCACAGAAAAAGCCTGCTCTCTCTCTCTCTCTCTCTCTCTCTCTCTCTCTCTCTCT